CACCGAGGTAAGCACTCCTCCTTGCACTAGGATTTACTTCCTCTTGCATACTGTAAGGTTACAATTTGATTATTAGAACGAAACTCAAATAATTCTTCCACAAAGAAGTAATAACTGACCCTTAAGCATATATGAAACTCTCCTTTCTATCTCACCATTATATGTGTATAATCTCTGAAGCATAAGGAAAGAGAGTATTCTCTTAGAGCTTTAAATGAAGATTTGTTGATTCGGTATTTCAGCACTTTGAGGTTACAATCTTAGGCTCTCTTTGTTTTTTTGTCTTTGAATGCTCCTATTTGTAGATGATATTGAGTATTTGACCGTTCATCTTCTTCTTTCCCGTTCGGCTTGAAGAATATGACTGTTGAAACTAGCTATTAGAGACTTCTGACTAAAAGTTGATTAGCAACATCATCAATCCGTTGTGGCTCAATCCCTGCTTAATCACTTGCTAAACATGTTGTTAGATGATCTAAGATATTTCCACAAGTATCAAACATGTTTAGAGTGTTGTAAATATTATGTATGGGTGTATCAAAGGAAGAGTCCCACATTGCTTGGGATTGTGAGGGTCCAAGTAATAAGTGGTCTTGGGCTACCAAATGGGCCAAGAGGAGGAGTGAACTTACGCTCACAATGGGCCACCGGAGACAAATCCGGCAATTTCCCCTCATCCCCTTGTGCACGAGTCAAATGCGGTACTGGGCACTTTATTGGAAATATCTATCTAAATTTTAATTTTAATTATAATTATGCCTCTTCAATGTTCGTAACCGAAGACTTTATTCTCCTTAAATAGTCATTAAACAAGTTAATTACTACTTGAAACCGCTCATTTAATTATGAGTTAATTATCATTAAGCGCGTTTAAATGTGCCTAATGGTATTGTGATCCGTAGCCTATAAAAGGGGCATGAGACTGAAGTTCAAAGTGTGACCGCCGTGCTCTGAGCTTTCTGACAACTCTCTTCCCTCCTCTGGTGTTCTGCATTACTGAGTTCTTTTACCTTTCGCTGTTCTGCTCACCCTGTTCTTACCGGAAGAATCTATTTAATCCTGGGGAGTGCCGCTTCTTGCTTTGCCGGTAATTGCGGAATAGCTCTTAAGGACAGTGTCTGTAAGACACGACTCGGATTTACCGTTCTCTGCAGGTGTTGCTGTCAACAGGGTTTGCCTAGCATTATAGAGGAGGAGGTAGATCTGCTAGATCTTGGAGAATTTTGGTGCTGCCGCCAACATAGAGTAACAAGATTTATACTTGATTTCGATTCCATTAGAAAAACAGAGTATGATGAAGTTATCTTTAACTCGAATACTTATTCGAATTCGAGTAAGCATATAAGTTTAGAAAGATATCACCTTTTTTTAAAACTTTTACTCCATAACTGACTTGATAATGCCTTTGCTCAATAACTTGTTTGAGTATAAAGTAGAAAATGGAACTTCTGGTCTTTGACAATTGAACTTTGATATGAACAAAAAAAAAGGTCAATTTTGAGTGAACATAAATCTTTCAATTCAACTCCAAATATTACAAATGACGTATCACTAGAAAGCTCTTTGAGTCTACTTTCAATGTTGTAAGTCTCACTCCAAAATTCCTTGTAATTTCAAAGATATCTTCATCACAATAACTGAAGGTCAAGGATAAGATGTGAAACTTTGATACCATATTTCACAGAATATCTACTTCATATAAAACTTATTATAGTTGATTTTGGTGTCTATGAACTATGTTCTAAGTCTAGTTTTATATGAATTAAATTTTACCTCAAACAAATTTATAGTTTAAGAGATACTATAGAAATACTAAACATATGTTGGGGTTGGTTAAAGAATAAAGCATAATATAGTATGTGATTTCTCGATAATGTGTTGGAGAAATATGAAACTCAAAAATGTACTCGAGAAACACATGTGAATGTCATCTAGTTATATTTGAGTTTAGATGAGGGGTAACTCAAGGTATATTGATATAACTTCCAATTGGGCCATGTTAACTTCTAATCATGGTATTAAAAACCAGACCGGACCTGCCGGTTCAAACCGGAAACCGGTGAACTGGCCACTTGTCCAGTCCGATCTGTCACTTAAACCGGAGGATTCCTAAACCGGAGCAAACTGGACTAAACCGATGTAAATCGGTCATAGACAGGGTAAACCGTTGGGTTAGGCGGTTTAACGGGTTATTATTTTTCATCAGACCAAAGCCTATGAGCTTCGAATGGAACGGCCGAAAAGTCTAAATTAGTTTTAAGCTTTGAAGACGACAATGGCGTGGTGAGGAAAAAGAAGAGGGAAGGCATGATTAAGGCGGAAATTGAAGGCTACAACCTAATATTACTTGAAAGAGATTCAGCGACCCTTAAACGAAATCTCAAGCAAGGAACCTACGACAAGCTGACCATGAGGGAGAGTGAGACCGAGAATTAAAAGTGACGGCCAAAACAATGAGGGAGCAACAAAGGCTTGCAAGTTTGAGATAGCGTGCTTCTCCAATCTCATCCTGGCTTCATACTCTGCTTCCTCTTCGTCCTTTTCACTTTTTTTCCTTGGGTAACTACGACGCTGGCTCTCTCCTTCCTCGCCGTCGCTTCATACTTCCTTTCCTCCCCCTCTAATCTAATGTGTTGGCCCCACCACATCCCCAAAACCTAATCTTAAAATTAAAATGACAAAACTATCCTTAAACTTCCTAATTCTTATTTATATTAATACACCTAAAGAAAAAAAATTGAGAGAATAAAAATTAATTCACCTAAATCCAATTAATTTTTTTCCAACTAAATCCAATTAATTTTCATCATTAATCTTCAATTAAAATTTAAAGATTTGCACAAAATAAAATAACATTTAACATATGTGCAAAAATCTTAAATAGTAAATTTATAATATTTATTTAACTGACTAATTCTCACAAATATAAAATAGATAATAAAATAAAGTATAATTTAATTAAACATAATTAGCCACAATTAATCATTAAAAGGACTTCGGTCTAGTATATAAGGATATGATTTATCAATATATCTAATAATTATTTGTAACTTCATTTATTAATAATTCATACACTATTGTCACTATTTTTTTTAATATTTTTTAGTTATTACCGGTCTGACTTCAGTCTGAACCACTAACCCTTAACCCATTGTCTCGACCGGTTCAGTAATTGGTCCGGTTTTTAGTACCTTGCTTCTAATTGAGCCACTCCAACTTCTTATTAAGCATAGTAACTTTTAATATCAAATATAAGAATTTAAATCGTAATATTCTCATTTGATCTTGCAAGTTCTTATTTCTTTTATCTCTATTCTTCTTCTTTTGAATTAATCTCATGATAAATCCTTTCTTTTCTTGACCAAACTGCATAAGATAATCACATTAAATATATTAGTTAGTCAAAACATGAGATAAATATTTGATACAAACTTTTTACTCTAATATTTGATATCATCAAAACTAATTATAGCTAACAATATCTTTATTCAAAAAGAGAGAACCTAAGAGAAAGAATAAACATACTACTAGAGAAAACAGATGTGAGAGAAAGAATGTGCGGTGAAGAGAGAAATACTGAAATTACTATTTGAACAATTTACTTTAATAATAAAGATAATGATACTAATATGGGTGATTAAATAGGAAAACATATAAATAAAAAAATTAGAGACCTCTTCTTAAAGTCTCTCATAAATAGAGAAAATCATACCAAAAAACTGTTTTCTCAAAGATGAACTAAGAGTATATTACTAAAACTGATTTTAAAAAAAAAATTCTTCATCTTCCTTCAAAATTTCAGAGAAGGTAGAAAGGGGTGTAGGACCTCCTTCCTTTTTCATTCCATATTTTCTAATTATCTAAGTCCATATTATGAAGGGATTGTGTAAGTTTATCTATTGTGAGAGAATATATTGTTAAAACTAATTTTTAAAAAAAGGTATCTCTCGTCTTTCCTCCAAATTTCAAAGTAGAAGGTAGAAAAAGGTGTAGGACACCCCCTCCCTTTTCATTCCATATTTCTAATTATAAAAGTCCATATTATAAAGAAATTATGTAAGTTTATCTTCTTTTAATATCATTTTGACTATCATCCAAAAAAGGAAGAAAGAAAGTAGGAACTAGGAAGGAGAAAGGAAGGGGGGGTTCCTCTCTTAAAAAAATTGTTTCATTCAAATAAGAGGAGCGGATCTCCTTCAAAAGATTTCCCACTTAGAGAGAGCTCCTAATATCCACTATTAAATATCAGTGTTAATTTTTAAGTATATTTTCAATACTCTAACTATAATATCATAATTCATAATTGATAACTTTATGTCAATTATTATTATTTTTAAATTAAACTTAATAGAACAATATTTTAACATCTAAATTTTGATATTGACATTTCATTTTGTTAATGAAAACTTAAGGTACTATAAAGGGTAAAAAAATTTAAAAAAAATACTTTATTAAAAGGCTAAAAATCATGTAAAACTAAAGAAGTGAAAATATACTTTAAAAAAATAATTAAAGGGTAATTTTATATGCAAAAAATAATTTTATTAAAATAAAGATTCTATTTCTTGATATGGGAAAAGAAAATTTCCAAAGATTAAAAGATTTATGTTATAGGCTCAAATTTCTAAAGCTTTTACTTCTTACTATGAACTTTTATTTCTCTAATTCATTGAGGTTCCTAATTCTATCATGTTCTATCCCACTTGTTAACAACTATCTCTTCATGAAATGAGACGCGGGACGCGAGTTGAAAATTTCATCCCGTGCCCCTTTTTGGAATGAGATTAAAGAGCTATATATAACTATTTTTATCACAACATTTGAAAATTTTATCTTATTTTAATAGCCAACGAAAAGATAAATGTTACCTATTCTCCTAAACATAAAAATTATTAACTTTTTATCACTTTTTATACTATTTAGAACATAATATTTTATTAACTCATTAATTTATTTTTGAAAATTTATTGGGATACCCTGAGTTAGCGATACCATCCTACTAAAAAGTAGATTTATTCCCACATCACTTTGTACAAAACCAAAACTAACATGAAATCAAATTTAAAGGAAACATAGTTTTTTTTTTTTTTATTCTGCTGAAAGTAAACTAATATTGTCGTATACATGATGCACACACTACTTCAAGCTCAGAGAACAAAAGGGATAATAGCCTTAACATGTTGAGGGAAATCTTCAAACTTGGATAAGTACCATCCCCTAGTTGCACAACTTCTTCCAATCAAGTAGAAAGTTGTGCCCAGAGTGAAGGAGAAAGCATAGAGAGTCTGAGAAATGAAGGAAACCCCATAAAACCCAATAATCTCAAAAAGATAGTGAGGGCACACCACCAGGCCAAACAAACCACCCTCAGGTATCTTATATTCCTTTTCACCACTTACTCTCAATTTAGAAAGAAGGTAATGGTGATAGAAGTTTCCAGTAATGCCAATGAGAAACAACACAATCCCAAGATTCTTCAGATCAATGGATGGCTCTGGAAGGCCAAGTGTGAGGTGCTGAGCATAGAGCATAGTGGCAGTGGACAGGAAATAACTCAGCGTAATGAGCATTACAGAATCAAGAACCATAGTCCCACTATATTTGTGAACAAACAGAACCTAGAAACCAGTTAAACAAAAAACATCATGTTTTAAAATGTGCTGAAGCAGAGTCAAGAATGGGGATTGCAGAATCAGTAATAAAACAGAGTATAATGGTCACAGAATTAAAATTTAAGAGTGCTACATGGAGTCCTTTGAGAGGAGGTAGAGGAAGGCCGAAAAGGATGCTCAATAAGATATTAATGAGATAACTAATATGGGGATATTAAGAAACGGGGATTGCAGAATCAATAATACTACATCTACTTCTCAATATAACAGCTAAATAACTAATGTGAAAATATCAAAGAATCAGTTAAATTAGTTATTTGTAACAAACATGTGTTGACTTTCATAAAGCATCTTCTTTAATCATATGCATTAGAACTAACCAAGCTTAAAATCTCTGTTATAAGAGGTGTTCATGTTTAATACTTAATAATATCTTAAATAGGATTGCTTCTAAAAAAAACCTATATGTAGCCAAAAAAATAATAAAGATGTTGAACTGGCAGCTAATGATGCTACTGACATGGAGAGGAACGGACTTTACCTGCTATTTTTTCGTTTTTCCTATATTACTGTGTAAGTGTGTGCTCAGATAGAATTGTACGCCATTTTTTTCAAAGCAGATTACAGGTCTCCATCAAGGACCCATTTGTTGGTCGGAATCGGCTGTTTCCTCTGCTTTTTTCTCCGGACTTCCATACCAGTAAGAGTTGGTTCAATTAGTAAGGAGTCGGCTTATAACTAACAAGATCATAAATACGAATCCCGCTATGGGAAGACTTTATTGGTGTGCGATTTACAAGTACCCTTTAATATAATCATTTTTATATTTTAATATAATCCTTGAACATGGAAAATTTCACAACAACATTTGTTTTCATTTGATTATATTAAGGGATTAAAATTTAAATAGGATTTGTTGGCATTTAACGGCTAAGCCAACATTTTTTGTTAAACAAAATAACGGTATTAAAATTAAAAAAGTGAAAGTAGGGACTAAAATGAAATGACATAAAGGACTAGACATATATGTTAGCTTTATTGTTTGAGTTTCAATGTTTAGTTTATTACTTTTTTTCTAACTATATCTTTGTTTAACTATAAAAATTAAATCAAAAAAAATGAAAAACTCCTTTATCTAAAATTATGTGAGTAACATTTCACCTTAATTAATGATTTCCTAATCCATATGCAAACAAAATTCTTACACAAGCATGAAACCCAGAATCTGAAATTTCCACTATAATATACGATTATAAAAACTAAAATCTCTTCAAGAAAAGATGAACCCAAATGATTTTTCATCCTGTCTTTATTTAAATTGTGTTCAATCTTAATCAATTTGGTTCAGTCGAACATCACAACAGAATATATATATATATATATATATATATATAAGTGGGTGTGTGTAACATAAATTAAATAAGAACGGTAAATTTTTAGCAAACATCATCCATTTCTCAAGATATGAACAACAATACCATTTCAAAATTTTAGTGAGAGAAGGCGTTACCTCCAAGATCCTCTTGAAGAAATGGAGTGTTAGAGCAGATTGAAGGAAGGTTGTTCTGAGACTCTCATGTGGGAAGATGAAGAAAGAAGCAGCGCCGGCAAGAAACGCCGGAGTATAGAGCAGAAGCATCCCCGATCTACCGGACAACTGAATCTTCTTCTTCTTCGTCTTCGAGGAATCTGTATTCCAGAATTTGGAATACTGCAAATGCTTTCCTTTGATTTCGTCAAAGCCAGTGCGTGCCAGCGACACGAAGCTTATCGCCGACATGGCCGAAACAAAGAGAGAAGGAGGCGGCGGAAACAGGAAGTTGAGCAGCGCCGACGGTATGGGAATCGCCATGGTCGCCCTCACCCACCCGCTTCTACTTTCTTTCTGTGTGTGGTTCTTCTTCTATCTTCTGGAAGAGAAGTAATGCGCGTGACAGATTGACGCATTTATGGCACAACTTGAATTTGAAACGGAAGGTTTATGTTCATATTACTCCACCGAAGCAAGAGTAGACCCGTAGCTAAACGGATGAGGACATCGCTCAAAGGACGAGTCATCTAATTGTAATTAAATTGTTTAAATGAGGGAGATAATGATTGAAATAATACTACTATAATTTAATTATTAATATGTGTATAAAATCTAACAAGTCAATCTCAATTTATATCCATTATACTAGTTTCATTATTTAATATAAAAATTAGTTGACTAATTTAAATAGATTAAAAAAATTAATTAAGTTAGTTATTTATAATAAACAGATGTTAACTTTTCTAAAATATCCTTACTAATCAAATGTATTGACTAAAACTACCATTATTATAAAGATTACTTTGAAGAAAAAAAAAAGATAAATATAAAAGACAAAATAGATTTGATCTTATATTTAAGACCAAAATAAAAGTAACTAAAGATGTGTGGTTGAGCGGTAAGAGCTCATCCTTCCTTAATTAAGATCGGGGTTCGATGTCTGTTTGGATATGAAAAACATTAAATCTCCTGACCAACTATTCCTCCCTTCGAGATACCTACAATTAGCCAATCCGGACGGTCTGCTTAGCACACCAGATGGGTCACCCAAAAAAGACCAAAATACAGGACAACTAAAAATAAATTCGGATGGGACCTTCTGTTATAAAAGCAGGAAGGCAAGTGGTTGTCTAGCCGTCAATTGAAATTCTATCAAACGAGATTATAAACATTTATGGTGGGAGCATTGGTTGTTGTTTGTTTTCAATTAAAGGATCAATTTTTAAAAAGTAGAAAATTATACCACTAATAAAATTAGAGTAGCAGAAGCCAGGGGATATGGGAATAAGGGGATATTTGCCTAACTCCAAAAGTACTTCTGAAAAACACTTTTCCGTAAATTGAGATAAATTTCTTCACATATTTACTTCATATACTATAAAACTACTTTTAAAATCATAGTTTTGTATATATCCAAACATCTCTCAAGTGATTTAATATCACATCAGTTTTTCTTTTTAAAAAAAAAACAAAGAAAGAAAGAGGGGCTAGAAAAAGGTTGAAGAAGAATCAACGTTGTTTTGTAAGATGTCACGAAATTTTAAATGGACAAAGGGACCATTGAGTAAATTCTTTTTGAATGTGATGGCATTAATATGATTTACGCATGTCGAAAAAATTAACACAACTTGAGCAACCTCATGCAACAGCAGTCCTTAATAGGAAAAGCAAAACATACAGGAATATAAATATTGAAGTTTTACCCATCTGAAAGTTTATACTACCTTAATATAAGATCCTGTTTGACTTTTATTTTGATCCTAAATATAAGACCCCAATCCACTTTATCTCTCATATTTATACATTTTTTCTAAAGTAACCCTTCTAACAATGATAGTTCTAGTCAATACACTTGACTAGCAAGATTATTTTAGGAAAGACAACACCTATTTAGGATAAATAACTAACTCAACTTACTTCTTTAATCTCTTCAAATTAGTCAACTGGCTCTTATAATTAGGACCGGAGGTAGTATTTCTTTACAACCAAGAAGAATTGCGGCAAGGAATGTCTCCATCGCAAATTGTCTTGACTTCCTCTCCATTTAAGTAAAACGACGCCGTTTTGTATCCTTTCATGCAAAGCGATCGGTTTCTACTCTGAAGGTTGAAGCCATCAAATAATTTGGTATCACTTCACTTTATGGTGAATATTTTATGTACGCAAAATTTGAGTTCTTTCTCCTGCGATGTAAAAAGAACACAACTTTCAGCAAACCCCAACCCAAAACAGGAAAAAAAAAATCGCTGGGATAATATATTGAAAAACCCCCTAACATCATGTGAAGAGAGTATTTGAATGGAAGTCACCTTGAATAATTAACTATCTTTAGTATCAGGTTTTAAAATGCAAAAATTAAACTAGAATCTAGTTACCCAAGAACTAGCATCCAGCAAGACTTTAATAAAGACTCATCAAACGGCCTTAAGCAGGAGAAGGAGAAGGAACTCGAACGGAGATATATGTATAGACGCACACACCCGAACCTGGGGAAGTGATTTTATTATATGAGGATTGAGCAGAGAAGGCATGTGACAATAGAAGTGTGAAAGAAAGGGAAGGTGAGAAGGAGGAATTTGAAATGGTTTTGGGAATAAAACCCAATGGGGTTCACCGGCTGGGGGTAAGTGAGTATCATATCTTATGAAGGGAATCTTGCCTCCCCAAATGATGATGAAATGTGGGCGATGGCGATAAATTGTTTTTCTTTTTAATATACTAGTATAACATTCCGCAGCAAAACAGTGTAACTATATATGGACCTGTTTGGGACAGCTTATAAGTAACTTATAAATAACTTTTCAATAGTGATTTGTGAGATACAAGGCAAGTATGTAAGAAGAGTTTTGTTTCAGTTTACGTGATACGTGTTTATAGAGAATTTCTTAAGCCCTTCCAAACAGGCCCTATATAAGAGATGTTGGATTGCTGAAAATTTGCAAGACAGTGTCGTTTTATTTAGATGGAGAGGAAGTGAAGACACCGTGCAATGGAGACATTCCGCTTCGGAAAAATTGTAGTAATACAAGAGATACGTCTTCAAATCTTAACTTTTCACATGCACATTGTCCACTCCCATGTTGATATGAGAATGTTGCGAAAGTCGTGATTGGGTAGAAAAGAGGTAAGAGCAGGTTTTAGAATTGCTTGTAAGATCTTTTGATTACATATTTCAGTTAGGTATTAAAAATAGCCTAAAAAATCTTGAATTACTTATTCTGAATTGTTTGGTTAGCCTCTATGAAGAGCCACATTTCATTTAATTCATGCGAGGTTTATTAAGATAACAATGCCCTTCAACATTGTAAAATTGCCCTTAAAAGTGGATGTTGCAGTACATTGAGGAAGCCTTGCAAGAAAACCTTGGATATAAATATTAGCAGAACGAAGGGGTAGTGCAGACCAAATAGCGTGTGTATATCAGCAAGTGCAAAAAGATAATCAATAGTTTCTCTGTTGACAACAGAAATCACCGCTTATTTAGACATTTAAGTGGTGTTTCTTTAAAACCTCTCCACTAGTTAAAACATAACGGATTTTATCTAACCGTTTATAATATTTGAACTTTATCTTTTAATATATTGTCGTAGTTCAAAAAAAAAAGTTATTCTTCCGGTTCTAAATATAAAACCCTTATACACACTAATATAATAGTTTTATATTTAGGACCGGAGGAGTGTAACATAATGGATAAGTTTCTAAATGAATTAAGAGTTGTTTATGAGGCAATGTAATCATCCATATAAATTCTCATAGTTTCATAAGAGTAGCCTGTCTAATCATAGCATTTTGAATAGAGAAAAGTGTGGCCTTACCTAATGCTATATTCACCAGAGACATCGCATTCCCAATAAAACTCATCCTTGATATTATGAATTGAAATCAGGGTTTTAAGAATGTTATCAACTATCCCCGAGAGTATATGGATCTAACTAGAGACATATTCTACGGAGGACAAAGCCAACCATTTGGGTTATTGGAAAAAGATCTAAAACCTTATGAATATGAAGATTTGTAGGCAATGATTGATAAGCCATAGGCCACTAGAGATTATGATCTTGTGGAATAGAATTCCCCAAGCCAACCTGTCGTTAGAGATGTTGAAAAATGAGGTTCGATTATTCCGAAATTCCTTTCCATAACCAAGAAGCATTACATGGTTTTTTTCAGCTAACAACCTCATGAAGTATCTAAATATTTTGTTGGGAAAATCATGAAAAAAGACCGCCGAATTAGAAAATTTTTAAATAGGGACTCATGACATAATTAAAATGGGTTGTGACAATAATTTTTATGAACGAGTCTCTGTGTGTAATTTTTCTATTTCAGCAGTCTTTTTTTATGATTTTTCCTATTTTGTTCTTATAATGCTGGCAAGAAGAGAGTGAGGTTCAGTTGATAAAACTCTCCAGATTTGTTTGGCCAAAAGAGAAAGGCTCATATGGTGCATAGATCTAAAACCCAGCCACCGTTACTTGAAGAAGTAAAAAGTGGATTTTTTTTTTTTTTTAACTAAGCGTCTTCTTCGCTCTTGATAATCCTAAACCCAAAAGAAATTAACAACTCTACCATCAATGATGTTGCACACCTTTTTGGGAAGTTTTGTGTAAGAGAGCACGTGAATATTGGATGTAGAGATTGCATATTTTATTAGAGTTAATCGTAAAGCTTGAAAGAGAAGCTTGGATTTCCATGAAGCAGTACTCCTGTCCATCGCATTTATAACTTACCTATAGATAGGATATTTGTCCTTACCAAAATCTATCCATGTACCAAGCTATTTTCCAAAACATTTAGAGAACTTGATATCCATATACCAAGGTATTTCCTGTGGAGCTCATCTGAAACATTAGGAGAGAATAGGATAGAAGATTTATCCTTGTTAGTTTCTTGTCCAGCCCTAAGGTGGAAAGTTTTGAGGATTTTGGCCACTTCATTGATATTGGATTTATTACATTCAAAGAAAACGGTGGAATCATTAGGATATGGCAAATGGGAGGTAGGAAAAGGGTCCTTACAAATTTTAACATTGTGAAGAGCACCCGACGTCTCACTATACAAGAGCAAGCAAGAGAGAATATTAGCCACCAAAGGAAGAGATGTGGTGAAAGTGGATTCACTTGTTTAATTCCATTTGATAGAAAGATTGGTTGGGTGAGTATGCCATTAAACAAAATATTATATTGGATTGTAGATACACATTGTATAATAAGTAGGATGCACTTTAAGGGAAAACACATTCTAATTAGAATGGCTTCAACAAAATCCAAGAAAGCTCATCAAAAGCCTCTGAGGAATCCAACTTCAAAAGAAGTTTCTTCCTTTATTCCTAGCATTGTCAATCTGATGGATAAGGTCTGCCACCATCAAAATGTTGTCAGAGGTTAATCTATCTTTAAGGAATGCACTCTGGAAGGAGAAATCAGCTTAGGAACAACTACCTTCAATATGTTACATAAAACTTTAGAAAACATTTGGTATGAGACACTGCAAAGGAATAGGCATATCCATGAGATATTTAACTTTCTTGATGAAGACTCCTCACTAAGTACACTCAACATAATACATAATGTCCTCCTTGTTTATAAATATAGGGGTTAATTAGAGGGTTTATTTTTATTCTGAATATAATAAATATAATACATTAATATATTTTATCTTCTAAATCTCTAACTTCTTTTTCTCAAACAATCCCTACACGGTGTTCCCTTGTTTATAAATATAGGAGTTAATTAAAAGGGTTTATTTTTATTTCTAAATATAAGACATTAATATACTTTATCTTCTAAACATAATTTTTAATTTTTTTTTAAACAATTCCTCTTGAATGGATATATCCAGCAATAGTTCAATGCAAATGATATTTAAAAAGTGATATGTTAGGAAAATTAACACACATTTTTTACATATAATTAATACACTCTTTTTTTTTTTTACATAACTTAGTTAATTTTTTAAACATTTATAAATTAGTTTTCTAGTTACTATATTAATAACTGGAGGAAGCAACATGTGTTCTATAACTATTGTTAATCATTAATATTTTTATATTTCAATTTTTAGTTAAAATGGAAAAATTTATTAATAATCATGTTATCATATACTACTTTCAATCCTTAGGCCCTGTTTGGATAGCAGGTCAAACTATGGTTTAGAGACCCAAACCATGGTTTGGGAAAAAAACAACCCAAACAGGCACAAATTATTTGAAACCATGGTTTTGGAACCCAAAACCATGGTTTCGGGAGAAGTGAATCCATTCTGCTTCTGACTCAAATTGGAGAGTATGATTGTACCTATTAGAATAAATCTCAACAATAATATGACTTTAACACCCCTTAATTAATTTTTTATAAACATATCTAATCTTATATCTTATAAATAAATATACACATATTAATTATTTATTAATTACATTATCTTATGTATTATTAATTATGTTGGTAAAAAATATATTATTAACAATTTTATTCCTTCAAATTAAAATATATCATACAATCTATGTTTTATGTAATTATCATATTAACTTATGCTTTTTTTTAATAATTTGTACATATAAAAATTGCTTCTGATAACAACTATCCAAACACTCTCACTTCTCAGAATCACTTTTTTACAAAATCTATTCTTCACAAAATTTATTTTTTTCAGAATCTATTCTCCACAAGCTATTCTTCAAACCATGGTTTGGTTTCATCCAAACACCCCTTAGTATAAAAGCTAGTTTGATATTTAATTTAATCCTAAATATAATATTTCAATTTACTTGTCCCTCATATTTATCTATGTTTAGTCTCTGTAACAGTTACACATGTTGAATATTTCATCAAATGATAGTTTTAGCTATTACACGTGATTAGCAAGGTATTTTAGAAAGACAATACCTAATTATTATAAATAACTAATTTAACTAATTTTTAAACTTATTTAGATTATTTAAATTGGAAGTACTAATTATTTTATATCACATATTGCTTTGGGACAGTGATGCTTGCTATGCAACTAGTTGAGTACTTAGATGCTTCACTGTGTAGTCTGTGGACCGCGCACACAGGCAAAGAGCAGTGGATGTGGTGATATTACCAAGGAAGCGACGTCGTTTTAGGGTAAAGGAGGCGCAGCACGTGGAGTGAGCAGCGGAGAGAAACCGGTCGCAGATGAATATGTACAAAAGACTAACGAAATTGGACTTATTTTTTCGGTGATACGTGCGCGGTGGGTCTGATTCCTTGGGCACAAAACACACCCAATTTCGGATTGGCCCGGTGAAGTGAAGAGGCAATTTCTTCTCCGTTTCCTCTTATTGGCGTCTTCTGCAACATTTCGAAGTTGTTTGCTGACTTGCTCTGTGCCTTGTATTTCCAATCTCCGTTTCTCTCTCTGTTTCTCAATACTTGCTTTGTGCTTTTGTTTGTCGAGGAATTTGTCCCTTTCCGTTGCAATAACTTCACTTTTAAATAGGAAATATGATTCTTAAAACTTGAACGGGAATGCATTTTCTTTTTAAACTTTTATAGGCGCGATCGACTTAATTATTAAATCTTGTTGAGTGATATCAAGATCCTTAGCCTTTGTAACTACAACATGACATTTATTTTGCTGGTCAAGAAAGAATGTGATATTTATTGTAGCAAGTGGTGACTTTCTGATTGTGCATCGGTGAAGATTCTTATCAGTTAGCCATTGGGGAATTTCAGTTGTGAACCCCAGAAAGAAACTTATGGATCGCCTCAATGATCCTCCCAGTCTCGTGATAGTTTCTGATCTTGATGGCACTATGGTAAATGACACGCTTAGTTTTATTGATGGTCCGTCTTCTGCTGATGCTTGGGATGCAATCCGGAATTAACTGTTGATTTTACTGCAGGTAGACCATGATGATCCTGGAAACTTAGCCCTTCTCAGGTTCAATGCGCTATGGGAAGCCAGTTACCGGCACAATTCTCTGCTTGTTTTCTCCACTGGTAGATCACCTCCAAGTTACAGAAGGTTAAGAAAGGAGAAACCATTATTGACCCCTGATATAACAATCATGTCTGTGGGTACTGAGATTGCTTATGGTGAATCCATGGTGCCAGATGATGACTGGAAACGATATCTGGATAATAACTGGGACAGAAAAGCCATTACACAAGAAACGGCCAAGTTTCCTGAACTAATTCCCCAAGTATGTTTCTAGCCTATAATTTTTTTGATAATCAAATATATAAATTTAACTTAACCAAACCTGTAGTTTTGATGTTGTTATAGAAATGCATGCATATGTATAAATTACTTTCAGGTCATGTATTTTGACGCGGGCTCATTCTAGTTGATAAAATTTTGTTATGAGGGAATGTATGATCACATATTTGATCAGTCATCATTTGAGACAATGGGTTTTCGTGTAATATTTGTCAATGTTTCAATTTTCTGGTTTAACCGCAGCCTGAAACAGAGAATCGACCACACAAAGTTAGCTTTTATGTTGAAAAAGGAAAGGCCTCGGAAGTCATTCTTGGTCTCTCCAAATGTCTAGAAAAACGCAGGGTAAAATCAAAGCTCATAAACTATCATTATGACAAAATTTCTTTCACGTCGTTTTCATAGCTTTACCTAAATATCAATGCATGAGACTATTTTTATATTAATCTGATATTCATGTGTTCTTTCTCAGTTAGATGTGAAAATACTTTATAGCAATGGTACTGCTCTGGACATATTGCCCCAAGGTGCTGGCAAAGGACAGGCCCTTACCTACTTACTTGAAAAATTCAAAGCTGATGGCAAGGGACCAGTCAACACTCTTGTCTGTGGAGACTCAGGAAATGATGCTGAACTTTTCAGTGTACCTGATGTCATGGTGTCATGGTCTGTAATGTGTTAACAATGACTTAGGTCACCGTAATTTAAATCTTGCTCATTTTTCTGTTTATTGTAGTTGTAAGGTGAATAACCATTGTCTATTTCTTGAATTTGCAGGTCGGTAATTCACTGGAGGAACTGCTTCAGTGGTATGCAGACAATGCAAAGAGCAACCCAAAAATAATTCATGCAACTGGGAGATGTTCAGCGGGTATTATTGAAGCCATTGGTAACTTTTCAGTAGGTCCAAGTGTGTCTCCAAGGGATATTACTGAGAAGTCAGTTGAAAAACCTTTTAATCCTGGGCACGAAGTAGTGAAGCTTTACATATTTTATGAGAGATGGCGGTGTGGAGAAATTGAGAATTCTGAGCAGAAAATGCAAACTGTAAAATCAACCTTTGTAAGTTTAATCTCATTTTTATATTTTGAATTGCTGAATTTTGCTTGTATGGTTTGCATTAAGTAAGCTGAATTCCTTATATGCACAGCTAGTTAAAATGAGGCATTAGGATTATATATTCATTATAATGTAGAAATACAGAAATTGGGAGGGGGGGGGGGGAACTATAGTCTCAAAATGTAAAAAAGAAATATAGAAAAATAAGTTTGAATCAGGTTAGAAAAGAAAAATGAAATTCTTTTTTTCCTTTTCTCTCTCTCTCTTTTTTTTTTTTTTTTTTTTGGGGTTAAAAACCAATTGAAGAATTACATGAGAAACAATAACGACAACGACAACAAACAATCCTTATCCCAATAAATGGGATTAGTTGTTTGGATTACATAGCATCATTGTGCTCCATCAATAGCCAAATCTTTAGATAAATTATTGACCAAAAGATCCCGCTCAATTACATGAGTAACAAAGCTTATGAATTTGCTTTTGATATCTGGTCTATGAATTGCAGATTTTTATCTCTCCTGTAACAACCTAATATTTAGAAATCTTGGTTGAGACAGGTAGGGGAGAAAATCAATTTTGCATTTTCACTGTGATATTATCTTTCACCTCTCCTGTAAGGCTGTAACCCATGTAGTTTATAGCCACGTTATATAGAAACTCTTGATTGAGAAAGGGTGGGTGAGAAATCAATATTGCATGTACATTGTCACGTTACTTTTTTTATGGTGGCATTCTTAAATAACTTTGCTATGAATCTCTGGTCTCCTCCCATTGATTTGAAGAGTTACATTTGAATGTCTGCGCTTTTCTCTAGCATCACGCAGGAAGTTTTGTCCATCCATCAGGAGTTGAACAAAATAGGCACCAAATCTTAGATGCCTTTGAGAAATTGTATGGGGACAAGCAAGGAATACGCTTTCAAGTCTGGGTGGATCGCGTGTCTTTTGCAGAGATTAGTTTGGGATCATGGCAGGTCAAATTTGACAAGTGGGAATTATGTGGTGAGAGATATTTAGTATAGTACTTTGCTTAGTGGTGATTTTTATATCTTTATCTCTCCATTTATCATTTCATGATGGCATCTTGTTTCGTTTTTTTGGGTGCTTTCTAATTATCGTGAATGATTGAACTTCTAACACTAGACTGGAATTATTGAAGCACTTGTTGTTGGGTTTAGGTGTTTTTTGTGATTTAAAATTGTAACATCTGGTATACTAACATTAGTTTGGGTCCATACTTCCTAGTCTTCCTTTAACTAGCCTTCAATATTACGTAACATTTTGGCTCTATCTAGTCTGCTTCTTGACAAAAATAGAGTATGAAATTCTCAGTTCTATTGCGGACGAGGCAGTTACATGGATATTTATACACGCTAAAGGGGGCTAATCTAGTTACAACAAACGACGTACAAGACCAAAGAAATAACTAAAACAATTGCATTTTTTACAATCCTAACACTCCTTCTCAAGATATCTTCCATGGCAAGGTTGATGGTTAAGTCTGCAAGAAAACACCAGGTAGTCCTTTGGCAAGAATGTCTGCAGGTTGGCTAATGAAGGAAACATGACAATGAAGGCCACAAGTGAAATATATTGCTTCAGTCTAAAATGCATCCAATAGAAAAAGGAACTGAAGGGCCTAGGAACTAACTCATGAAAGTCATTCATCATGCTCACACTGCCTCCGCGTAACCTAAATCATTATTGTCACAATGTTTGATAAATTTTCAATTTACAGGTCTTGTGTTTGAATTTTTTTTCAGCATTTAATTTTTACATCATTTTCCTTCCACTGATAGTTACTCTGATCAATCCATTGTCGTTTTGAATCAGGGAATGAATTGCAAGGCTGCTCAACAAAAGTTTTAATGAATTCAAAGGTAAAGGATGTTGTAGATCCTTCCTAAAATGTGATCCCCTTTTTTGTTTGAAACTTTGCTTATCATATGGTTTTTTTTTTTATATCAGTAATTATTTTCTGCCCTGACAGCATTCGGAGTTTTGCAGGTTGATGCACCAGATGAGTTTACATGGATGCACTTGCATCAGACTTGGTTGGATTGTTCAGGACAAAATGACAAGACTTGGCTTATCTAGATCATCATTTAACTTCATAACATTTTATTGGGAAACGACAATCAGGGACCTATCTATCCATAACATTAATGTCAAAAGAAGACCTTGGAATTCAGAAATGACAGTGAAAGACCAATGATCCTTTATGAAGCCCTGGTCTTGAATACAGTACACCAATAAAAATATGTTATCGAGATGCAACTTCAATTACACGTTCACCTCCCGCTTGTATTCGTCCTCCAATCCCCTCAATGACCTATGACGTTTGCCACCTCAATGCCATTCTATTCTCAACATTGACAATCTCTTCCAAGTCTGAGCATGATCCCTCTGTTGCCTCCAGTCTTGGATTTTCAGAGGATAGAGGATATTGATACTAGGGAAAGAGAGTAGGAGTCTCAGAACAGAAGGGCAATATCGATTGTATAGTTCCCTCAAGTTTCTACTCATATGATGACATCATTTCATTACTCAACCATCTTTATATGCTAATATATTAACTACTTGTCGTATGTCTTATGCATAATGAAAGTTGTTTTCTTTTTATGTACAAAAGTTATATGCTATCGAATGTTACAGCCTTGACAGGGAGAACAGACCATTAAGGCCAATTTATAAATATGAGTGCGCGCTAGCGACTTTAATATTAACTTATTTAGTATGCTTCGATGTCAATTTTTTTTATAGTAGAGTTGTTAATTTTCTATTGTTACTGCTAAAGTTTAATAACAACCTTAATATTAACCTATTTAGTATTTCAGTATAAAAAATAGTGACTTTTTCTTTTATCAATAACTCCATTGAAAACCCTCTTGTTTAGGATTAACCATTGTAGCACTAGAAATTAACAACTAATGTTATGAAGTTTCCTACTGGAGTTGTGTTGTCATTTTCCTAGTTAAAGTTGCTAATTCTAAAATAATAGTTGTTAATAGTTATAAGTAAAAAATAAGAGCTTTTATGTCAAAAAAGGGAAAATGACAAATGAAAAACCTGGAAAATGTTAATTTCGTCGAAAGCTACCTGAATTAGTATAATCCTAGAAAAGTGTAAAATTCTAAACTGACATTTGGAAATTCAAGCAAAAAGATATAAATGCCCATATTTATAATTTTTATTTCAAAATTAGTAAAATGAATTGAAAATTTATTATTACCAGCTAAAGTTTAGAGATTGAGAATTTTCTAAATACATGATTTTTTTTCTCATCTTCTCAAGTTTTTAAATTTTTAAATTGCAACGACGACTTGTTAAATTCTATTCTCAAATTGAAAAAATGCATTAAAAATTTGTTATTATGGTCTGAAGTTTAAGAATTGAGATAAAATTACTTTTTCATGTCATTTACAACTTTATATGTTTATTGGCTATATTACATGAGCTATTAATAGCTTTTATTTAACAATGCCACTCTTTAGGTTCTTCACAATTTTTATATGGGCTTCAACTAAATCTCATGTGTTATTAACAATTTTGTTTAGCCAGCAATAAAGCTGTTTTTTCATGACAATTCACAAATTTTATATAAGTATTCTTTCGATCCTAAATATAAGACCCTTATTATAAGGGTGTTATATTTAAGACCGGAAGGATATTGACTATATTTTATTAGTTAATAACTTTCGTGGTAGAATATGTCTTCTTCATCACAGGTAAGGGCCCGATTCACGTCCAGATGAGGGCCTGAAGGCAAAAAGCTATGAACACCTCATTTATTTATTTTAAAAAGTTTGAAATTTAAAAATCATGATTGTTGAATTTCTAAACGAAAATTGTTAATATCTAATTAAATAAAGTCAATGATGATATAGTATATAAAAAAAGTCAATGATTATATAGAAGTTGTGAAAGATCTAAAAGAGTAGCTTTGTTATTTGTTAAACAAAAGTTAGCTATATAAAAATTATGAATGACCGTAGTCAAAGATAACAAGTTAACTCATAATTTTTTGTATCATAATGTTAATGAAATTTGGTGACTCAATAGTCATCTTTAATTTTAAAATGCAAGTGATTGTATGATTGAAGAATTTGAGATAATGAATATTAAAAACTTGATGTAAATATTTTCCTATCTTATACTGAAGATATTAATTCTAATGATGCAATTATAGGAATTATTAGCAAAAAATAAATGGAAATCCCTTAAAAAATATACAAATAACTCAAATTCATAATTTGTTAAAATCCTAATCAGGTCACATGAATTGAAGAAAGATTTTAAAATTTTATGAAATGACTCTGATGCTGATTTTAGTAAAAACCAAAAGAGAATTCAAATTAGGGAAAAAGACAGAAAAATGCAACTTTAACTCCAGAATCCCAAAAACGTCCAGCTAATTTCAGCAATCCCGTTTTGGTACCATGAGATCAAATTGGGATTATTATGTGAAAGGAAAAGACCAAATTGCCCTTCATTTTAAATATTATTTTTAAAATATCACAGCCCCTACCAGCCGGCTGGTCACCGGAGCTCCGGCGACCCGCCGACAATTGGTCACCAGAGCTTCGTCACTCGGAAATTTTTTTTTTTTGAAAACTTTTACAACTTCAATATAACAACAACTTTTGTAAAGCTATTAACAACTTCAGTATAGCAATTAACAACAGCTTTTCTGGAAAATTCAACAAACTCCGGCGACCGGAAACAATTTTTTTGAAAATTTTTACAACTTCAATATAACCGTTAACAACTTTTGTAACGCTATTAACAACTTTAATATAGCAATTAACAACAACTTTTCTGGGAAATTCAACAAACTCCCGCGACCGGAAACAATTTTTTTGAAAATTTTTACAACTTCAATATAACGGTTAACAACTTTTGTAATGCTATTAACAACTTCAGTATAGCAATTAACAACAGGTTTTCTTGGAAATTCAACAAACTCCGGCGATCGGAAACAATTTTTTTGAAAATTTTTACAACTTCAATATAACCGTTAACAACTTTTGTAACGTTATTAACAACTTCAATATAGCAATTAACAACAGGTTTTCTGGGAAATTCAACAAACTCCTGCGACTGGAAACAATTTTTTTGAAAATTTTTACAACTTCAATATAACAATTAACAACTTTTGTAACGCTATTAACAACTTTAGTATATCAGTTAACACCAGATTTTTCGAAAAATTCAACAATTGGTCGTCGGAGCTCCGGTTGAGGAAAACATTTTTTTTTGTTGAAAATTTTTACAACTTCAGTATAACGGTTAACAACTTTTGTAACTTTATTAACAACTTCAGTATAGCAATTAACAACAGGTTTTCTGGGAAATTCAACAAACTCCGGTGACCGGAAACAATTTTTTTAAAAAATTTTACAACTCCAATATAAACGTTAACAACTTTTGTAACGCTATTAACAACTTTATTATATTAGTTAACAACAGATTTTTGAAAAATTCAATAATTGGTCACCGGAGCTCCGGCGGAGGAAAACAATTTTTTTGAAAATTTTTACAACTTCATATAACAGTTAACAACTTTTATAACCTTATTAACAACTTCAGTATAGTGGTTAACAACAGGTTTTTGAGTTTGTTAAAAGCATTACTAAAGTTATAAAAATGCCACTTTTTGAATTTTTTTGAAAAACCTGTTGTTAACTGCTATATTGAAGTTGTTAATAGAGTTACAAAAGTTGTTAACTGTTATACTGAAGTTGTAAAAATTTTCAAAAAAAAAATTATTTCCAGTCACCGGAGCTTGTTGAATTTCTCAGAAAACTTGTTGTTAATTGCTATATTGAAGTTGTTAATAGCAATATAAAAGTTGTTAACCGTTATACTGAAATTATAAAAATTTTCAACTTCAGTATAACGTTAACAATTACGTTTTTTTGAAAATTTTTACAATTCCAATATAACGGTTAACAACTTTGATATAGCAGTTAACAATAAGTTTTTCGAAAAATTTAGAAAGTGGCATTTTTATAACTTCAAAAATGCCTTTAACAAACTCAAAAACCTATTGTTAACCGCTATACTGAAATTGTTAATAGGGTTACAAAAGTTGTTAACCGTTATACTGAAGTTGTAAAAATTTTAAAAAAAATTGTTTTCCTCCGCCGGAGCTCCGGCGACCAATTATTGAATTTTTCAAAAAATCTGTTGTTAACTGATATAATAAAGTTGTTAATAGCGTTACAAAAGTTGTTAACGTTTATATTGTAGCTGTAAAAATTTTCAAAAAAATTGTTTCCGGTCACCAGAGTTTGTTGAATTTCCCAGAAAACCTGTTGTTAATTGCTATACTGAAATTGTTAATGGAGTTACAAAATTTGTTAACCGTTATACTGAAGTTATAAAAATTTTCAAAAAAAAATGTTTTCCTTCACTGGAGCTTCGGCGACCAATTGTTGAATTTTTTGAAATGTCTGTTGTTAACTGATATACTAAAGTTGTTAATAGCGTTACAAAAGTTGTTAACTGTTATATTGAAGTTGTAAAAATTTTCAAAAAAATTGTTTCCGGTCGCCAGAGTTTGTTGAATTTCCTAGAAAACCTGTTGTTAATTGCTATACTGAAGTTGTTAATAGCGTTACAAAAGTTGTTAACGGTTATATTGAAGTTGTAAAAATTTTCAAAAAAATTGTTTCCGGTAGCCGGAGTTTGTTGAATTTCCCAGAAAACCTGTTGATAATTGCTATACTGAAGTTGTTAATAGCATTACAAAAGTTATTAACCATTATATTGAAGTTGTAAAAATTTTCAAAAAAATTGTTTCCGGTCGCCGGAGTTTGTTGAATTTCCCAGAAAACCTGTTGTCAATTGTTATACTAAAGTTGTTAATAGCATTATAAAAGTTGTTAACTGTTATATTGAAGTTGTAAAAATTTTCAAAAAAATTGTTTCCGGTCGTCAGAGTTTGTTGAATTTCTTAGAAAACCTGTTGTTAATTGCTATACTGAAGTTGTTAATAGCGTTATAAAAGTTGTTAACGGTTATATTGAAGTTGTAAAAATTTTCAAAAAAATTGTTTCCGATCGCCGGAGTTTGTTGAATTTCCAAGAAAACCTGTTGTTAATTGCTATACTGAAGTTGTTAATAGCATTACAAAAGTTGTTAACCGTTATATTGAAGTTGTAAAAATTTTCAAAAAAAAATTTCCAACCAAC